AGAATGTAAACAAGGGAAATCTGGAATTTTAGCTTATGCAAATGTTCTATGCAAGTGTTTATATGCTCAATCATTTGGCCTAAATATATCACCATGAACTTAGATTTTACTGGAAAGAGATCTGTTAAAAAATCATGATTCTTTCTAGTCCTCCTATTAATATCTATTCACCTGCAAATATTTTTCAATTCATGCACTTTGAAACGAGGCAAAGAGTTCTTGAAAAGGTGCAAAAAAAAACAGAGATAAATTGATGAGTCAATGTCTACTCCTAAAGTTAATTTCATTTAGCTTACATATGCTTTTACTGAAAAAAAAAAATGCAGTGTCTGGAAATTCAGCTAGTATAAAGATACACGCGGTTTTCATTTCCCGAGCTTCAGGGGAAACACTGGCGAAATACGCAGGTGCAAATGACGTTCAGCTGTGGCTATCCCCAGTCAATGAGAACTCGGCTTGGTCCATCATGCTGATGTCATTCATTTCTTTGCTTGCCATGTCAGCAGTTTTAGCCACATGTTTCTTTGTACGGAGGAATAGGATCGGGAGAGAAAGGCCTCGATTTCCAAGGGTTCGTGAGTTTCATGGGATAAGTAGTCGTTTGGTGCAAGCAATGCCGAGCTTGATATTTACGGCTGTTTTAGAAGATAACTGCACTTCACAAACTTGCGCCATTTGTCTTGAGGACTATAATGTCGGTGAAAGGCTCAGAATTTTACCGTGTTGTCACAGTAAGTTTTTTTTTTTTACTTAACTCGTGAGGCCTCTCGGTTAAAGTGCACAAGCGCTCAGGTGAATTTTTCCGTTTTAACGTTTTCTTTTTTCTTTTTTCCTCGACAGAGTTCCACGCCTCGTGTGTCGACACCTGGCTAACTTCATGGAGAACATTCTGCCCCGTCTGCAAACAGGACGTGAGAGCGCCACCTGGCGGGCCCCCAGCATCCGAGTCCACACCTTTGCTATCCTCCGTCTCATCACACTCGATCCTATCCTCCTCGTCCTTAAGTTCATCGTCCGCGTCCACATCAGCACTACCGTACGACAGCCTGGCACCGTCCAGCCAAGGCTCGGTTGACCTCAGTCAAAGGTCCGACCAAGCTTACTTTCTTTCGGTCAACTCGTTAGGACACGACTCGTCATCGCAGCCTCGTGGCTACCTGTCTCCTATGTATGTCCCAAGCGTAGGGTCCACGAGCCGCCAGCCTGGACAACAGCTGGACTACTGCGAGTCAACCGGGAGCTTTTCACCGTTTGACTCGGCTAACTCGCTTCCCGGATGTTGATAAAACGTGATGAAAGCTGATTTTGTATGTTTTAGATGTTTGAATCTTGTATATTTTGTAGGGTTTTTTAGCATGAGATTTATGATAGGGTTGGGCAAAGGTACAATTACAACTAATTTAAGTGTGATGACATTTTGTTAAGGAGTTTCTTGAGAAAATGAATGCAAGAGAATAAAACCTGTGTGTTTTGGAATGATCCTTTCCAGATTTTAGGTCTGAATAAGTAGTGTAAATAATTATTTTATAGTGTAAACTTCTAATACTAGTATTAAATGTTGTAAATAATTATTTTGTAAAGTATAAACGTCTAAAACTAGTATTAAATGTTGCTTAGGAACCATGATTGACCATTGTACCTAACATTTATGACTTTATAGTGATCTATCTATTGTATTGGGAATTAATTTCAAGACTGTTTGGCTATTGTAAATTTCTAAATTTATGTTTTCATTCAGAATTTCTTTCCATTTAAAAAGAAATGGTAGAAAAACAAAAAAAAATGTTATAATATAAAAACTAATAATTAACTACAATTTGGGTGAACGTAAGTAATTTTTATACATAAATATAGAATAATAATTGAATATTATTTAAAAAAATTCTTCCAAGTAAGTCAAACTTTCATTGTTTCGAATTCAGACGGGAGAAAAAAAATAACGCAGACGAACAAATCACAGAGGTTTTGCAGTAAAAGTTCGCGCACTGCTCGAATAAACATCAATGGTGCTCTCACAATCTCTCCTTAGACATCATGAGAACTGCACAAATCTATTCCTGAATCTCTCGCAGGTTATCAATTGACAATTTCGATTCCTGTTAGGGCCTTCACAGGCGTCCCTGCATGGAGCTGAAGTGCAACATCCCCAACAACCTGCAATCGAACATTCAAAACTGAATCGGAAAATGCTCATCCAAGAAAAATTTACATTACAAACCGTCATTATGAGATAATCTAATCTTACCTTAGCCATGACATTATAGGCCCATTTAGTAACTCCAGCAATGTGATTCGTGTATATAACGTTAGGGAGCTTTAAAATTGGGTCGTTTGGATCAAAAGGTTCGATCCACGCAACATCAGTGCCTAAGCCTCCTAAGTGGCCCGATTTCAGATTGTTCAACACGGCTTCATAATCCAGAAGTCCACCTCGTGCTATGTTTATGAGTAAAGCCCCCTAAAAGAAAAGGCACAACCGAATGAAATATCAAAACTGAAATATTGAGTTCAAAAAATGAAGTCTAACAAACCTTTTTCATGGAAGATATGAAAGTCTTGTTCACGATACCAACCTGAAAACAGTCACATGCAAAAAAAAGGTATAATCTTTGTAAATATACTGAAAAATAATATGCGAGGAAAAAAATATGCATGGAAATGGGAAAAATATCAGTTATTACCGTTTCACTGTTCATTGTCAGACAACATACGACTATGTCAGCACGGCTTGCAAACTTTAGAATATCTTCATGTGTGCCCTTCTCATCTACAAGATCATCATAGGTACCGTTTCCAATATATGCTGCTAGTGAATGTAATAAGTACAGAGTTAATACTTTTATTCAGGTATTAGTTTCGCAATTTTTTTGGTTTAATTTAAATAGTAATGCTTCGTACAGTTAGGCTGGCCTGAGCAAGGAGAAGATGAAGGCCAACTCCTTTTAGTAGCGATAATTTTCACACCAAAGGGCCGCAATAGCTTTGCTAAGTGGATCCCGATATTTCCAAATCCCAAAATGAAAATCTACATAAAGGCACATTGTTTAATTTGCCATTTAAATAAGTTGAAATTTTAGAAGTGAAATGACAATAGAAACAATTCACCGTTTTCCCAAGCAGTGTGTCACCCATTGGACTTCCAAGGTTTTTCTCCTTCACAGCAACCTGAATTTCATTCTAACACAATGGAAAAAACAATACGATGTATCAGTACAGTTAAAGAACAGATCTTGAGTTTATACACTACACTAATTTCACGTGCATCTCCATAAATGCATTTCTCCGTAACCAGGAATTCACTAAATACCCAAACTGAAACAAAGCTGGAAGAAAATGGAGGTCTAAGAGAAATCCACTTGATTCAGCATTCAAACTATTAAAGATGATTTTTCCTAATACACTTTATTTTCCGAATATACAAAATATCCAAGCAAAATAATATCATCTTTGAAACAAAAAAATTTTGGTTGATTATTATGAATTATCCCACTTATATATAAAGGAATTTATAAAAAATCATGTATCAGCAACATGCTGAAAAATTATTATTTTTGTTTGGACTTCTAAATGTATTTTACCAACTTCTGAACCAAGTAAATATGAACTTCCGAGACTCTTTAAGATCTAAAGAGACACACTTGCTTACGAAGAAGGCCCAACATCAGATAAACGGACATTTCAGCACAAGAATGTGCATTTCCAGTGTCATGGCTCGGGATTCTGCCAACCTTAATTTCATGACTTGATGCAGCACTTAGGTCAACACCTTAATGTAAGAAAAATAAACCATATTGTTTAGGTAAAAGGGATTTGATTAAAAAAAAGAGTTGACTACTGTGTATAGTGCTGAAGGAGAACCAAGAACCTTCTATCCCCACTCCGAATTGCATAATAAGCTTCATTTTGCTTGCTCTAGCAATGATATCCGAAGTTAGCTTCATATTTTTCACGATGCAAATATCATACTTTCCAATGACATCAGGGACATCATCAAAGGGGACCACATCTACCTAAAAGAACACAAAACAAGACATTGAGGGGATGCACAATGAGGAATGAGGCAAGCTTCAATAATATTTATTTCGTTTTGCTTAAGTTGTATCACACAGTAAGAAATCAGAAAGTAATTTATTTAAAAATTTATGCACGCCAAGTTAAGCTTCTCCAGATTTAATCAAATAGTAACGAGTCTATTCCATCCACCCAAAGTCCTACAAAATTCCTTCATTTATCCAACTAATTCACTTTTTCTCACACTCTAAAACTTCCTAGTGGTAATCAATATGTAAACAAGATTAAGGGTGAAAAGTGAAAATAGAAAATTAGTTCACTTTGGTTCTAAAACCGACAAATAGATTGAAACGAGTTTTATTTCGAAAAGTTCCGGATAGGAACAAATGGAAATGGAGGGAGCAGCTGTAATGAGAAATAAAAGAAAATTGTAAGCATATTAAACGATATGACGCACCTGTATAAATGGATAGCTTTGCAAATACTCTCGAGTAAAATTATGCGATCCCGGGAAATAAGGCCCACAGAAAAGAACACGAGTGATGGACTCACCACTGTCACCAGTCATATCTTGAAATTTTCTCATCGAAACTACATCATATAAGCAATGAAATTAAAACTCAAAGTAAAAACAATATGCATACTAATAGAACACCCGCAGAATAATTTATACTTTTTTCAAATCTCCAAGAAAGAAGGTGGTCTAGCATTAGGATTTTACAAACCAAATGCAAGAAGTAATTTAAGCGTCAAAAAAGAATTGTTCTTTTTCCACATAGCAGAAAACCCATTGCAAATTTACCAAAAAAAAACTCGGAATCTTTAAGAAAAACTAAAAGCTTGCACAACCTCAAAACACCCATTCAGGCAAATGTCAACCACAGAACAGTGTAAGAACAAGAAATGCACCAGAAAAAAAAGATCAACACACTCTTTCTTACACAAAGTTACACCGAAACAAATTGAAAAAAGAAATAAAAGAACAAATTGGTACTCCGTACTCAAAGGTTTTCTGTAAAATCGAATTTCACCTGATGAACAGTAGCTTTGACTTCGAGCAGATTGAAAAAGAATCTCGTGAATTGAAGTTCGTCTTGCTGTGAATGTGACACCTCCGTGCCCACCCCTATCTAACCCATGTTTGAGGAGCTTAAACAATGGTGCCGCACGGTGCATGAGGGCGCAGGAGAAGGATTGGTGCACCCTCACCTGGATGGATGGATACAAAACGCAGCTTTTGTGTTCGCTTTTTGCCCAACATAATAGTTTTCCTGTAATTTTCTTATTAGTCCCTCGTTTTCATCATTATTCTCAAACCACTGCCAAGAGTCTTTAGATATTACAGTGTGTTTTGGTTGATTTAGATGGAACTTTAATTGGTATAATAGATTGTTTGGTGAAATTAACCGATAATAATTATGATACATATTCCATAAACTTTTCTGGAAATGCTACCTAATTAAGTATCTGAGAGAATCTCGAATTTTCTTAAAATTCCATCCTACCAAACAAGTTTATTCGAATATAATCTCATAGACTAACTAAATAGATGGTAAATTAGTTTATGGCATATGTGTAGAGTGAAAAATAAAAATAATTGGTAGTAAAATGAATTAATTTTGATGTTGTGAGTAGACGTTAAAATGAAATAATTAGAGTTAGTGCAATATAAAGCTAATAAAAATATAATTATAAATAATTAGTGGTTAAAAATTTATGAGTAAATAAAGTGAGTTTTATTGAAAAATATCTAATACTTAAATTTAATTATATTAATAATATTGAAGAAAAATTAACATTAATGAATAGTGGGTGTTAAATTAAAAATTGTATCCCACCTTACTTTGTCCAAAAAAAATATTATCTGACAACTAAAACATAATGTCAACCAAAAAAAAAATCCCTAAACTAAACTGAGAACTGAAAACTAGAAATAGCAGTACTGCACAAAGGCACTATAAAACGAGAAAAAATAAACTAAAAACAGAAGTACCAGGAATACTTTCATAATCAGATAAAATGCAAAAATAATAGGCACTACCGTAAAAGTTTTACATCGTCTAATCGTTCATATGGGCGAAAAAAACTAGCAAAATTTTTTAGCAGACCAAGAGCTAAGAACAATTACTCGCTTTTATCCATTGATACCAAAAGCACAGCTAAACCAGGTTTTGCTAGTACATTAACAAAGGCATGATAATTTGAGTTCCTTTGGGTTTTCATACAACTGGGTTATGTTCGTCGTGTTTACTCGGGAAAGTCTGAAGAGCTGGTTATACCGTGCTTCGTTTTGCTGCTATGATTGGGTAAAGAGCACTAAGAGCCTGTTACTCCTGGGAAGAGCTCTGATATTTTGTTAAATACATCCATAACCTGATAGATTAAAAATGGAAAAAAAAAATAAAAATAAAAAAAGCTATGTATTAGATCAACGTTCCCAAATCCAAGTGCAGTATCTAGGGTTTGATGTAAAGCAACATGGAAGAAAGTGGTTGGGTTAGATCATTCTTTTCACAAATTCTAGTATAAGGCGGCTTAGGCCATGCTTTGTTTATAAAAAACTAGAAAAAAAACTGGGTTTTTTCTGATTTTTTTTGTTAACTAGAGTTTATTTGAAAAAAGTTAGTATAGTCAGTTGTTAGTGGAATTTTAAGATAAAATAATATTTTAAATAAAATGATTAAAAATTGATTTTAAGTAAAAGTAAGAGATAAATGATAGATAGTTAAAATTATGTGAGTGGATGAATAGTGAATTAAAGTTGATGTGTTATGTAAGAATGGTTGAATGATACTATTTAATTATATTGATAATATGAAGGGTATGGAGTTGAGTTAAATTAGATTTTGAATTGAGAGAGATTTTTTTCTAGTTTTTTATAAACAAGCAAAGCCTTAATGGTTAGAAGGGCCTAACACTTCATACCTTTTTAACAAAAATGCATACTTTTTTGTTTATGTTATTTTTAAAACATGACATTTTAGTTTGAAAGTACGCACATTTGTTGAAAAAAGTAAGATTATCTAACCGTTAGGCTTTGCCTAACATCAGCCTTATTGTTTTTACTTGATCTGCAAATGTATGGATGACTGTAATTTTCTCTTACCTCTTTATCGTTTTGATACTTGGCAATACTCAAAGGGTTCTGCGAACACTGTAAAAACGACCAAAATCAGCAAAACAGAGACTGATATTCGTGTAAAACTATGGAAAAATAAACGGGAATGAAGCTTCTTACATCCATGATGGCCGCTTGAACTCTTGGATTCTGAAATGCCATGGCCACATCAGGATTGGCCATTATTTTAGAAATGACTTCCTCTGGAGTAAGGCCTATCTGGTCTGCAATTAAAAATAAACGAGAAAAAGAGAATGAGAGATCGTGGAAGTAGAAGAACTTGTAATATATATATAGAAACGAGACCTGTAATAATACACACCAAACTGTTGTTTGATCTCAGGGCTGCTAAGGTCGAAATTCTTCAAAGAATCCATCATGCGATTGTCCCATTCAGGACTTCCCCCCATGTTATTTCTGAAAAATAAGGCAGAAGAAGGTACTCAAATTTACTCATCAGTAAGAATTTTAACAAAATTAGCTTGTTGGCTAATTGTGTTGGAACAAGAACTCTGCCAAACAGATTCTTCTTTTATTTTTATTTTTTTTATTTTTTTTTTTTCTTTTTTCCTTTCAAATGCATGAGATGGAATACTTACAGCATGTCCTGAAGTTGTTGACGGTATTGAGGATTTTGTAGCATCCCTGTTCAACAATATGCAGAAGTTTTCATAAGTTCAATTCTCACTTGGACAACAGTGCAAGAAAATGCTGAGATTACGTATAACTAAGTTTAAAGATTGGAGCATTTTTGGAATCTACTGCACTAATGAACTTACACTTAAAGGTTGTGGGATTCCTCATTTCCTCTGGCAAGTAACTGCAAAGATAATAATAACTAACAATTTTGGCCATAGTAATGAACAAAAGAAAGGTGGCAACTAAACAGTATACGAAATTTGCACAGATACTATAAAGAGTACTCGTGAATCCACATAAAAATAATTGAGGTGGATATCCAATAACGATATATTAATAAAATGTTGCAAGATATATCTTCCTTCACATAATTAAAGTACCATGGTGAACAAGATTTCTAAGGCATCAGATTCGGAAAGACAAAATAAGAAATGGAGTATGTCAATTTCATTTGATGAGGTAATTATGGTTAAGTTGACCAATTAGAATTGTACATATATTACAAATAAAAAAAATTAAACAATAAACCGGTCTATGTCCTCAATATTGAAAGGAAGAACAAAGGGTGTCTTACGGATAAACCATTTGCTGTACTGTTGGATCTTCCATCATTTTCTCCAAAGCTTCTACCGATAAAAGAGGAGCTTTTTCACCTGTGCATTAAAAGAGCAAACTCTTATTTGAGGTCTCTGATGAGAACACGTAAACAAATTCTGCATCTTAAAAATATCACAGCAAGAACAAACTTATAAGATTTGCAATATACATTACTCCATAGAAATAATGACTAGTACAAGGATCTATTACTAAAGTTCTATATTTTTTGGCTCAACTTTTACTTAGTGTAAGCCTAGAACAATTGGAGATTGCAAGTTCAATCCAAATATGCTATCAAACCTCAGTAACTTCTTTCAAACACAATAGCAAAAATATGAAAAAACAAACGACTTTCTCAACTTACTTGTGGAAGGACCTTTTGAAGCAGGTGTTCGTTGGTTTGAAGTCGTGCCATTTTGAGAAGTCTTCTAAAAAGTATACAAATGACTAAATTATAACTTATAAAAATGTAAAGAGCACTCTCTGACAAGAGTCCAACTATCGGGATGATAAGATTGGGATTCATTTGATGAGTCTACCTGAACTGATTCTTTGAAGTTCTCAAAATCATTCTTCTGTAGTGTTTCGTCTGGAGAAATATCTACAAAAGCTGCACCAAAAATATCCATTCAGATTCAAAATGAAACAAAAATTCCCCAACTGTTTATCTGCAAACAAGATTGATTCTCAATAAAATCCACATTAGTTGACAATCTAGAAGCAGAGAAACACTTTCACTTTCTTAGTTTTCGCAAAAATTTCCTAAATGAACAAAATAAAGCATATTAAAATTCAAAAATACACCTAGGAATAGGGAAATACCAGATTTCTTTGGTCCCTCTGGTTCTACTACTTTTTCTTTAGCGGGTATCGATGGAGGGTCTTCAACTTTTGTTGCAGGTACATCAACAGTTACAGCTTGAGATGTCATGGGAGTTGACGTTTTAAATGCGTCTGATGATGGTGGGTTAGTAGCTGGAGGTGGAAATGGAAATAGGGTTGAGCCGGGTGAAAAGGCAGCATTGCCAAACGGGTTGTTCTGAGTATTCATCTGTTGTGACATGGTCTTAAAAGCTTGTTCCATTGCATATTTCTGCATTAATGAAAATTTGATGGGATCATCAGATGCTGGATAACATAACAGGAAAAACCAACATAATTCAACAATGCCTAGTGCACTGGATAAATGTCTTGATATAT